CTACAGTAAGACTTTGAGCTCTGTACTAATGCCCATAAAAGTCAAAGATGGAGTTAAAAGGCATTTTGAGACTAGTCATTTGAAATGCAGGAGGCAATCTATATTTCTGTGTGATCTTTTTTGGTTAAAACATTAAACCTAATCTGGTCTGTAATAGCCATCCTAATAACTAAAACATCATTTGACAGAAGATGAGCTGTTTTATCACTCACCATCTGTTGGTTTTCATGTCTGCAAATGCCTCGATATTTTGCTCTCCCTACATGGTGTCTGTATGGGAAGATATATTACATTTTCAGTTAATATTCTAACATTTACCTAAAACAGATTTTTTATGTGACTTTCAGGTTTTTACTTTTTTGCTATTCCATATTTTGATCATTTTATTTCATGTGCAGATTTGTAAATGCTCCCTCTAGTGGTCATCTCTATGTCAGGCAATGTGATTAGTATTCCTGCTCATAGAGAGACAATGGAAAAATATCTGTATGTACACAATCTAAGCTACCATTAACATTTATTTAAATTTTCTTTTGTGCACCTCACATTTTACTTACCTTAACAATGTACACATGCAGAAAACATTAGAAAGTGTCACTTAATTTAAAGCAGAACTCCAGGCAAAAGCTTCTTTACATGCCCTTGGTGATTATCTACCTTCACTGAATATGTCATCCATCTTCTGGTTCACTCATTAGTTGCTCTGAAATAGCCTATTCATTTTCAAATTAAACCATGAATTTTGTTTTGTTTTCCGTTTGTAATACCAGTGGCTGGTTTTGGCAAATCCCACCTGTAGTTCTTTCTCCATGAAGCAGTGATGTCATTCACCATTTGCAGTGGTGGGCACAGACCTAGACTCTCATATATATATATATAGACATATTCAGTATGAACAGGCGTAGTTTACCTGCCCACATTTACTACAATTCCCTGTGGTTGATGGTAACTGCAGTTTCCTTTTACTGCAGAGAGAAAGGAGAGGATATGATGTAATCTCTGCTGTTTCTACTCCTTGGCAGAGCAGATGCTGTTATCTTTTGAATTACAGAGATGAGCTCATGAAAATTCAATTAGACTTTTCTCCTAAATGGTAAGGATTTTCAAAATTGTATTAATGGTTTAGTGTTTGGTGTAAGGGGCTAGCTAATGCGTGATTTTTTTTTTTGCCTCCACTGGAGTTCTTCTTTAAAGTGTCATTAAACCCAGACTATGAAATCTCTCATTACATGCTATATAACAGAGTGTGTGCATACTCGCAAAGCCACTAAAGCATTCATTTTGTGTAGAGTGAATTGTACCTGGTTGATACTGCCCTCGGTTCTGCCTTCCATCTTTTCTGTGTCCCTGTTGCAGCCTGAGATTGAGTAGACCATCTGTTGTCCTCTACTGAGCATGCTCTAATTTCAGTTCTTGTCTAAGCTGTTCATTTCCTCCTCTTTCTTATCTCTGCAGCCCACATAACTAAAGATTCACACAGGTGGGTGCATAAACAGTGGTGAATGACACTCCCCTCCCCCTCCTCCATGTCCTCCTATTGCTAAACACTATGGGGGCAGGATATAGTATGCTGATTTATTACATTCACTAAGAAACTCACAAAAAAATTAGATTTAATATAAATCTACTAAATATATCAAATGTAATTGCTAATACCTGTAAAGTAAAAAAATAGCCTTGGATGAAGAGTCTGTCTGAACAAAATGAAGTGTCAATCATCTTAGACTTCGCCTACTCCATTTTAATGCACAAAAAATACACATTTGATGTTCAATAAAAATGTATAGGGAGCTAAAAAAAAACTGTTTTTGGTATTTATAATTTAATTTGAATTGGTCTTCTGAAACTTTATTTTTTTTAGTACAGGAGGGTTCAGAAGGCCCTGCTCATGAGAGCTAACAATCTCAACAATATGTTCTCCCTGCTGCCTGTTGGGCACAGAATTTGGGATGTGAAATGTTCGAAGAATCATATTCTTTTGAGCATGCACATAATAAGGGCTCCATATGCACGACATACAAAGACATGTAGCTGTTACCTGCAGTTGCAGGTAAATTAACAATTTATGACCCCAAGTAAATTTAGTAGGTGGTACAAAAGTGACAAGCCACTTATAAAATATGTACCTCTTAAAAGGTGCGTAAAGAAGAAGTACATTGCTCCATCTTGCAAATCTCCGGCAGGAACCACAGTGATACTCAGCTGAAGTCCTTCTTTCTGGGATCAAAGCAGTAAAAAATGTAACAACCTTGTTTCAGCCTACGCAACCTTAGTAGCCTGTTACCAGCTAAGACTAAGGTCATGTAGGCTGAAACAAGGCTGTTACATTTCTTACTGCTTTGATCCCAGAAAGAGGAACTTCAGCTATGACTAAGGCCATGTAGGCTGAAATACACCAGTTACATTTCATGCCTAATAAAATGGATCTGTCATCAGATTTATTTTTTCTTGTTAAATGTATGCTGCGTGCTAAGTAATCTGTAAGCGTATGGCCTCATTCATACTGGCACTTCTGCGTTTAGCTTTTTTAAACACAGGAGACGTGATCTGGGCAGTATAAACAACTTTAAATGCTTCCTGTGCATAAATGTTCCTGCTTCAACCCTTTTACTACCATCGGCATAACGTTTACTTTGGCAGCAGCAGGGGTATTTACATGCACTCCGCTCTACTACATCCCAGAGTGCGAGCAATAACTTTAGGGCCATTATTCATGGTTAACTGATTACCTGTGAAGGCTTTTAAGTGTTGCCTATGGCTAACAAAATGCATTGCTGTTTCACAGGTATGTGCACTTTAAGACTTGACATGTTGGGTCTCTGTTTACTCAGTGCAAGCTCGTTTTTTATTATTTTACCAAAAATTGGGTAATATGTTGTGTTTCTGTGCCCTGAATATTTTGTGTAAATTTTTTTTTATTGAAAATATGTTCGATAAACAGTGGAGCTATAATCCTATGACATAAAAATTTGCAACTACTACCATTTTGTTCTCTAGAGTCTCTGTTTTCAGAAAATAAATCAAGTTTGAGGGTTTTAACTAGTCTCCAGGTCTAAATTGTGTATTTTAACGTGCAAAAAAAAAAAAGAAACCCAATTCTGACAGCAAAAGGGTTAAAGCTGAAGTTTAGGAATGGCAATTTTTACATTGTTACATTGGTCCAGCTTGGGCCAATGTAAATATGTATATGTTATACCTGTGGGATCCCCTTCAAAGCTGCAAATCACTATTGCAGGCACTGCTACTACAGTCACTATTTAGCCCTTAGAAGGAAAGAAAATTATTTATTCAGACATCATCCAGGGTCACCATATACTTTGTTTATATATACTCATATAAATTGTAGTGCCTGTGCATTTCCTTGCTGGTTTCATACATGCCTGATACAAATCAGTGCTTACCACAGCCTCTCTTGACTTGCTACAAAGTCACAGGGGTTGATTTACTAAAGGCAAATAGACTGTGCACTTTGCAAGTGCAGTTGCTCCAGAGCAACCAAATCGGGTGCAAGGAATATAAAAAAAGAACAGAATTTTCTCCCAATGTCTTCCAGGACAGCCCTTTGAGATGTAGAGCTCCTCCATCTGGGACAGGAAACATGTAATCCCAACGCCTTAAAGGCGGACCTCCAGGCCTCCATCCTCAGTTTTTAGTGTTTCCTGAACCGTAAGGATGGGTACACATTTAGGAACCTTAGGGGTCTCTACACTCTAGGGCAGTGGTGGCGAACCCATGGCACGCGTGCCACAGCCGGCACGCCGAGCCTTATCTGAGGGCACGCCAGGAGAATCCAGCGGCGCGCTGTCTTCCCAGCTGTAGTGTGCGTGACAGCCGGGTCCCAAGTGCGCATGCACAAGAAGCAGTGCTCCTTGTGAATGGTAAGGCGGTACCTGGGACACATGACAGATCCCAGAAGCCGCCGGACCAATCACAAAGCGCAGCGCTTCTCGCACATGTGCACTGGGCATCCAGCTGTCCGACGAGCGCCCACACTACAGAAGCCGGGAAGACAGAGCGCGGCTGGATCGAGGAACAGGTAAGATAAAAAAAAAACTCTGCGGAAGTAAGAGCGGGTACCTGTCAAATTCAGGTACCCGCTCCCCCTCCTCCCCAAAGGTCAGCAGTCATCCCTGTGCTGTGTCCCCAGTCTCTGGTCATCCCTGTGCTGTGTCCCCAGTCTCTGGTCATCCCTGTGCTGTGTCCCCAGTCTCTGGTCATCCCTGTGCTGTGTCCCCAGTCTCTGGTCATCCCTGTGCTGTGTCCCCAGTCTCTGGTCATCCCTGTGCTGTGTCCCCAGTCTCTGGTCATCCCTGTGCTGTGTCCCCAGTCTCTGGTCATCCCTGTGCTGTGTCCCCAGTCTCTGGTCATCCCTGTGCTGTGTCCCCAGTCTCTGGTCATCCCTGTGCTGTGTCCCCAGTCTCTGGTCATCCCTGTGCTGTGTCCCCAGTCTCTGGTCATCCCTGTGCTGTGTTGTGTCCCCAGTCTCTGGTCATCCCTGTGCTGTGTCCCCAGTCTCTGGTCATCCCTGTGCTGTGTCCCCAGTCTCTGGTCATCCCTGTGCTGTGTCCCCAGTCTCTGGTCATCCCTGTGCTGTGTCCCCAGTCTCTGGTCATCCCTGTGCTGTGTCCCCAGTCTCTGGTCATCCCTGTGCTGTGTCCCCAGTCTCTGGTCATCCCTGTGCTGTGTCCCCAGTCTCTGGTCATCCCTGTGCTGTGTCCCCAGTCTCTGGTCATCCCTGTGCTGTGTCCCCAGTCTCTGGTCATCCCTGTGCTGTGTCCGCAGTCTCTGGTCATCCCTGTGCTGTGTCCGCAGTCTCTGGTCATCCCTGTACTGTGTCCGCAGTCTCTGGTCATCCCTGTACTGTGTCCGCAGTCTCTGGTCATCCCTGTACTGTGTCCGCAGTCTCTGGTCATCCCTGTACTGTCCGCAGTCTCTGGTCATCCCTGTACTGTCCGCAGTCTCTGGTCATCCCTGTACTGTGTCCGCAGTCTCTGGTCATCCCTGTACTGTGTCCGCAGTCTCTGGTCATCCCTGTACTGTCCGCAGTCTCTGGTCATCCCTGTACTGTCCGCAGTCTCTGGTCATCCCTGTACTGTGTCTGCAGTCTCTGGTCATCCCCTGTACTATGTCTGCAGTCTCTGGTCATCCCTGTACCGTGTCTGCAGTCTCTGGTCATCCCTGTACCGTGTCCGCAGTCTCTGGTCATCTCCTGTACTATGTCCGCAGTCTCTGGTCATCTCCTGTACTGTGTCCGCAGTCTCTGGTCATCCCTGTACTGTGTCCGCAGTCTCTGGTCATCCCTGTACTGTGTCCGCAGTCTCTGGTCATCCCTGTACTGTGTCTGCAGTCTCTGGTCATCCCTGTACTGTGTCTGCAGTCTCTGGTCATCCCTGTACTGTGTCCGCAGTCTCTGGTCATCCCTGTACTGTCCGCAGTCTCTGGTCATCCCTGTACTGTTAATTAGTTTGCACTACTGTACGAGTTGTTTTTTCTAAACCAAAAGCTCGATATTCAGGTTTCATTGCAGTGTTGGCACTTTGAAAGAAATAAGTTGGTTTTGGGTTGCAGTTTGGGCACTCGGGCTCAAAAAGGTTCGCCATCACTGCTCTAGGGGCAGCCTGGAAGAGTGGAAGCTCCCATTGTTGATAACTTACCTCCTCTCCCTGACGCGATCCCTCCATGGTGAGTGGAGTGGGGCTGCACGCCGGATGGCCTTCTGTCCTCAGTGGAGGAGACCGCAGGTGAGATTACCCTCAGGGGGACCAGACTGAGGGCCCAGCTGTGAGCATCTGATTCCCCCATGAGCTCTTGCTGCCCTCCCCATTCTCCGGCACAGGCAACACAGTGGTGCAGAGCCGCCCGGCGGAAGGAAGGCCGGGTGCAACTTCTGAGGGCAGGTCTATGTACTCCAGTGGCAGGAAGTCCGGTGTGGTGATGCCATTGGCGGAAGCCTGGACACGCTGGTTCCAGTCTCCGTAGAAGAAGGCGCAGGCATCCGGATTGGGCAGTCAGTGTGGCGTTGAAACCCAGCAGAGGCTGAGGACCACGCCAATCGGGACATCATGGAAGCTGGCCCTTCTCAGCAAGCCGACCCTGTTTCTGGCACTGACTCCTCTCAGGTAGGCTTGGGGATGGGCTCCCTCTTGCTGACTCCTGGGGGGCGATTGTTTTTTTCCCCAATCTCTGAGGGCAGGTGATGTTGAGGCACACTTCCCATTCTCCCCCAGCACAGTGGTATTTGGTTGAAGAGATAGGGGCTGAGGGTCCTCTTTATTCTGTTTTGTTTCTTGCATAGGTTAAGACCCAGGACAGGACCCAGAGTCAAGCCCCAAAGAAGAACTGTGCAGCTAATTTGGGTTCTACTTGTGAAAAACCCTTACGTCGCAACTGTGTAGAGTCTTTTACAGCCTGCCACAAGGTTCTCACCTCCATTAACCACTTGCCGACCGCGCATAGCCGAATGACGGCTTCACCGCGGCCGGCCAGTTCTGAGTGGACGTCATATGACGTCCTCCCAGAACGCGCTCTCCGGCGCGCCCCAGGGGGCGCGCACCCGGCGATCTCCGTGATCGCTGTGTCCTACGGACACAGCTGATCACGAGATGTGGTGAAAGGCCGATCCCACCGGCCTTTTACCACGTGATCAGCGGTGTCCAATGACACGCTGATCACAGGAAAATGCAAGTGCCGGTTCTCGGCTGCACTTTCCTCACGCTGTCAGATCGTGAGGAAAGTACTGCCGAGAACCGGCAGTTGTCAGAGCGGGGATCGGCACCGATCATCAGGGCACTGATGATCAGTGCCCTGATGATCGGTGCCCAGCAGTGACCCCCGCAAGTTCCGATCAGCTGTGCGCCCACTAGCCCCGCCCACCCATTCCCAGCGGTGCCCCCACCTGTGCCCAGCAGTGCCCCCACCTGTGCCCAGCAGTGCCCCCACCTGTGCCACTCTGCAGTGCCACCTACCTGTGCCCAGCAGTGCCACCTACATGTGCCCAGCAGTGCCACCCACCTGTGCCCACCCACCTGTGCCCACCAGCGCCACCCACCTGTGCCCACCAGTGCCACCCACCTGTGCCCACCCACCAGTGCTGTCCACCAGTGCCACCCACCAGTGCTGCCAGTCAGTGCCACCAGTCAGTGCCCAGGGGTTGTGCCAGTCAGTGCCGCCAGTCAGTGCCCAGAAGTGATGCCAGTCAGTGCCGTCTATCAGTACCCATCATCAGTGTCACCTATCAGTGCCGCCTATCAGTGCTGCATATCAGTGCCGCCTATCCGTGACCCCTAATTAGTGCTGTCTATCAGTGCCGCCTATCCGTGCCACCTCATTAGTACTGCCTATCAGTGCCCTTTAGTGCTGCCTATCAGTGCCCATCAGTGCCGCCTATCAGTGCCCATCAGTGCCGCCTCATCAACGCAAATCAGTGAAGGAGAAAAAATACCTGTTTGAAAAATTTTATAAAAGAAACAAATAAACTTTTTTTTTTTTTTTTTTCAAATTTTTTGCACTTTTTTTAATTTATAGCGCAAAAAGTAAAGCGCCCAGTGGCGATTAAATACCACCAAAAGAAAGCTCTATTTGTGAGAAAAAAATGATCAAAATTTCATATGGGTACAATGTTGCATGACCGCGCAATTGTCAATCAAAGTGCGGCAGCGCTGAAAGCTGAAAATTGGCCTGGTAAGGAAGGGGGTATAAGTGCCTGGTAGGCAAGTGGTTAAGGATGACATGACAGCTATGTTCCAATCCTTCAGATCCCTGCTGGATAGGATACAGACACCACTGGGCCCTTGGACCCAGTCGACCAGTATGGCAGTATCAGCAAGGCAGGAGGACCCGGAAGAGGACTCTCGGTCCCTTGCTTCTTCTCAGACAGGTTCAGGTTCAGAGGAGGACAATGAGGAAGAAACTAGCTCCTCCAGAGGTTCCAGGTACAAGTTGTCCCTGGATGATGTGGGCGACCTCCTTAAGGCTATCTACGAAACCTTAGAGATTGAAGAGGAGGAAGTTTGTTTATCTAAGCATGACCTCATGTATCAGGGTCTTCATGCCAAGAAGAATAGGGTCTTTCCGGTCCATAGCTCCCTGGTTGATACCATTAAGCAGGAGTGGGAAAACCCTGAAAGGAAGCCCTTTTTTTCAGGAAATCTAAAAAGAAGATTTCCTTTCAAGGAAAATGGGTCCCAGCGATGGAACAAAGTTCCAGAATTGGATGCCTACTTATCCAGAGTTTCCAAGATAATGGACATGGCATTTGAGGATATGGGGGCCCTAAAGGACCCCATGGATAAGAGAGGGGAGATCTTGCTGCACAGAGCATGGGTGTCCTCCTCTATTAGCCTTAAGCTGGCTCTATCGTCCACTTGTGTTGCCAGAAACCTTGAGTGCTGGTTTACCCAGTTGCAGACACACTTGGTGGCAGGAACCTCCAGGCAGCAGATCTTAAAATCTTTGCCTTTACTGTTTAAAGTGGTAGGTTTTCTCACGGATGCCTCGGCAGAATCAGTGAAACTAGCCGCAAGGACTTCAACCCTGGTAAACTCAGCCAGGCGGGCATTCTGGCAAAAAACCTGGGCAGGGGATTCAGCATCCAAGCTGTGCCTTTGTGCCTTACCTTTTACAGGTGACAACTTATTTGGTCCTGGTCTAGAGGAAGTCTTGGAGCATACGGCCGACAAAAAGAGAGTGTTTCCAGAGAGTCAAAAGAAATCTTACTCCAGGAAGGTTTTTCGTCCAAAATCGCAAGTACAAGGATGTTCATCCCAAAAAACATTGGACGGGACACAAAAATAGGGGAAAAGGGGGAATTCTATTCAATCCTCCTCAAGGCCCCTCCAAGCCTCAGGCATCCCAGTGGGAGGAAGACTGGGGACCTTTCTCCCTCAGTAGCCTTCAATCTCCCCGAACCCCTGATAGAAAGGGGGTACGAGTTAGAGTTCGACTCCTGTCCCCCCGCCAGATTCCTGGTAACCAACCTTCCCAAAGACTGAAACAGGGCACAAGCTCTGTGTTGCCTAATTGGAGACGTAGTGGACCAGTAGGACCTAGTTCAAGTCCCTCAGAGCGAGCAGGTGAAGGGATGTTATTCCCATGTGTTTGTAGTGGGGAAGCCTTCGGGCAAGTTTTGTGTGATCTTAAATCTGCGCCCCTTAAATTGATCACTGAGGTACAAGCACTTCAGGATGGAATCGATCTTCTACGTAAAGAACATCCTTTACCCAGGCTGTTTTATGGCCACGTAGGATCTGAGGGATGCGTATTTCCATATTCCCATTCATCAGACGAGTCAGGAATACCTGAGAATAATGGTAAAGATGGGTTCACAGATCCTCCACTGGCAGTGTTGGGCTCTACCTTTGGGCTAGCCTCAGCACCAAGAATTTTTATGAAGGTGCTTGCGGAGGCCTTAGTTCCCCTAAGGATGAGGTCTATTACCATCGTTCCTTATCTGGACGATCTTTTCTTCATGGCCAAATCTCACCAACAGTTGGCAGAAAATCTGCAGGTGGCTCAGGATTTTCTTCAGAGCCTGGGCTGGCTCATAAACAGGGACAAGTCATCTTTAACTCCCTCCCAGAAAGTGACCTATCTGGGATACAAGATTTCTTCGGTGGAGGAGAAAATCTTCCTTCCTCTGTAAAAATTTCTCAAGATAGATCAGACACTAGCAGAGTTGCAGTGCAATCTGTCGGTATTAATAAGGAAAATTTCAAGGGCTGTGGGTCTCATGACTTCTTGTTTCTTGGTGGTCCCGTGGGCAAGATTCCACCAGCGGCCTCTTCAGGCTTTTCTTTTGAAGATTTGGAACGGGGACAGGTCTACTTTAGATCTGGCAATCCAGCTCCTGTCCAAGGTCAAGAGGTCCCTCTGGTGGTGACGGAAGGAAGTCAATCTGGCCAGAGGTCTGGAGTGGAACCCTCCTTCTCTGCTTATTATTACAACCAATGCCAGCAGTTATGTTTGGGGAATCCATCTAGGCAACACGGCGGCCCAGGGGTTGTGGTCTCGGAAGGAGTCTCAGAGATCCTCAAATCAGAGAGAGCTTCTAGCCGTCCAAAGGGCATTGGATACCTTTGAAGCAGAGCTATTGGACCGTCACCTGCAGATCCAGTCAGACAATATGGCTACAGTGGCGTATATCAACAAGCAAGGGGCCACATGAAGCCCCTCTCTGCAGGTGATTGCAGGCAGCATTCTATCCTGGACCGAGCAAAACCTGCTTTTGGTTTCTGCTGTTCATCTGAAAGGGACACAAAATTCCCTAGTGGACTTCCTAAGTCAGCATCCAGTCAGTCATGACGAATGATCTCTCAACCAAGAGGTGTTCTTACGCATAACTATCAGGTGGGGGCATGCCAGAGACCTATCTCTTTGCTTCCCAGGAGAACAGGAAGGTCAGATAATTCATTTCCCTAAGTCCGCAAGAGCAGGCCTAGGGGGTGGACGCCTTGACAAGCACGTGGGATTTCAACCTCTGTTACGAATTCCCTCCAGTGAAACTGATCCCAGCGGTCCTGCAGAAGTTTCTGATAGAAAAGACAGATCTCATTCTGATAGCACCATTCTGGCCAAAGAGACCCTGGTTTTCTCTGCTGCAGAGCCTTACCTCGGCTCCCCAATTCCCACTTCCAGAAAGGGAGGATCTTATCTCTCAAGGTAGAAGAACAACTCCAGAAAGCTCAGGGGTTTTCAGACACCATGATAAAAACCTTGGTGAACTGCCGTAAACCAGTAACTAGAGCTATTTATGCTAAGGCCTGGAAGAGATTCAACTTCTGGTTGTTAAGAAAGCGGCGGGGCTCTCCAGACATTCCGGCGGTTTTTGCATTTCTTTCAAGAAGGGGCAGATCAGAGACTCTCGATCAACACCTCAAAAGTGCAGGCTTCGGCCCTTAGTGTTCTCCTTCAGGTCTCCCTTTGTAATTCGGATCCCCTTTTTGTTCTTTTTGCATGAGCACAGAAAGGTTCCAGATCATCTAAGTCCACCATAGCTAGGTAGATTAGGTTAGCTATCATGGAATCATAATTTATTAGAGATTCCTCCCCCATTTGTTAATGCACACTCAACCAGATCCTTATCAGCATCCTGGGCAGAGAGAGCTGGTGCTTCGCCGGAGGAGATATATAAGGGGGCCACCACCTAGTCCAGCTTTCCTACCTTTGTGAAGCATTATCGCCTGGATCTCCTTTCAAGTAAAGATCAGGCATTTGGACTCAAGGTCCTCCAGGCAGTAGCCCCGCCTTAGTGGGTAGGTTCTTGATTATCATCTCAAGGGACTATCCTATAAGACGCTGGGAGAAAACCAGAGTTAGGGCTCGTTCACACTTGACTATATTTCTAACTCTTGCCAAACGTCCCTATAGCGTTTGACAGGCGTTAGACAGGCATTTGGGAAGCATGCTCCCCAAACGCCCTATGTGTGGTTTTGAGGCGTTTGATAGGCGTTTGCCAAACGTTAAAACCGCACTACAAATGCCTATAATGAAGTTAAATGGTATTAATGCTCCGCAAACGCCTCGCAACTGCCCCGCAAATGCCTGCCAGGCGTTTGAGGAGAGGCACCATAGACTTTAATGGGAGGCTTCAACTCCTCCTGACTCGACATGAGGCGTCAGTTTTTCCACGACACAAAGCGATGCGCCGCTAACGCTTCAGTGTGAACAGCACTGTGTGCTGCCATGTGCAGAATTTTCAGAGATGTTTGAGAAGCATTAAAAACTCTTCCCAAATGCGTGTCTGATGCTTGCTGACAAAGCTAGTGTGAACGTAGGCTTACAGGTAAATCCTTTTCTGCAAGTCTTCCAGGACAGCCGTGATTTCCCACCCTAACAATGTACAAGTAATGTATATTTGGTTAAAGTGTTTATGTCTTTCAGTGTTTTCTGGTGGTTCTCGGGTAAAACTGAGGATGGAGGCCTGGAGGTCCACCTTTAAGGCGTTGGGATTACGTGTTTCCTGTCCTGGGGGGAGGAGCTCTACGTCTCAAGGGGCTGTACTGAAAGACTCTCAGAAAAGGAGTTACTGGTAAGCCTAACTCTGGTTTTTGCTTGTACGTGATTAGGTGATGAATGTCGGCAGAGCTTCTGCTCATGTTCTAAGAGCCAAGAGCCAAGAGTGTTGCTGTCTGGAGAAGGGAAGCTAAGGAAATGCTTTTTTTCTTGCTGCGGCAGACTGATAAAGAAGAAGGACTGCTTTTAAATAATAGGGTGGATGCTAATACTGAAAAATTATACTGTCACATGTCAGCAATTTTTTCAGCAATCTTGTAAAGTTACAGACAGGTCCACTTTAAGGAGATAACATTATCAGTAATATGTTTTCCTTTTTATGTTAAAACACAATAGGTTCACTCAATTTAAACAGACAGTACCTATCATATGGGACATGATTTGACTCAATAAACACAGACCGTACCTACCATATGGGACAGGATTTGACTCAATATGAAAAGACAGTACCTAGCATAAGGGACATATGACACAGGAATAGCAAAGAAACTAAGTAAAAGTGTCATTCCAAGAGGGACATCATGTATGAGAAATGCAGATGTCTAAAATAAACAAGCAGGAACTAGTCAGGAATAATACATACAAAATCAAAGATTGTCCATCTGTGTACCCACCCTACTGGGAATGTCCTCTGGATCCAAAAAGGCAGAAAACATAATATTGGGTGACTCCTTAGCAGGCTGGTGGAGAGAACTCCATGCCCCAGTGTAGTAGCACCAATCTAAAACAGGTACTGAAAAAAGAACTATTTAAAACAAACAATATGAATATATAGCTGTGCTCAAAAGTTTGCATACCCTGGCAGAAATCATGAAATTTTGGCATTAATATAGAAAATATGACTGATCATGCTAAAAAAAACTGTTGTTAATTTAGAGATAGTGTCACATAGTAGGCGACTGAATTGATGAGATTAGCCTCTCTTTTTACCTCCAGCCCAGACCCCACTGAAGGTGGGATAGATGGTGCCAGGGGAGAGGAGGAACACGAGTGCTGGCAGGTATTGATAGCAGAACTTGCAGCTGGAGGTGCAGGCTTGAGAAGTCAGGTAGGACATCAGGTCAGAAGCACACTGGACCAGCCTAGGTAAAAAGGGACACTCTGCTTGAACTGCAAGTTCTGGAAGTGTGGCTTGTCGAAGCTCTCAGCAGCTTTACACAGGAACACACTGCAATGACTGGAGCGGTTATGAAGGACAGCCGAAGCAGACAGTCAGACCTTGTATGAAGCCAAGTCAGAAGCAGGAGTGAGGTCAGTAGCAGGCAGGCAATGAGGTACCGAATCGTAGAAAAAACATGGTCAGGAGTGAGGCCAAGGTCAGGAATGAATGCACAAAAGTACAAACAGAATCCAGGATCAGGTCAGTAACAAGCTGGGTTATCAATGGAAATCATATACAGAATACACTCTGGATACAGGTAAGCTGAAGACTAGAGATGAGCGAAGTATTCAAAAATTCGATTCGGATGATTCGGCGAATTCGCGGAATAAATTCGATTCGAGTCGAATATATTCGCTGCGAATTTAACTTATAAAAAGGGTGTTTCTAGGCTTCAGAGAGCCTTTATATTAGTGCAGAACACTATACCTTTAATTTAAATGCCCTTGGAGTCTGCTGGGGAAGAGAAATAATACTGTCAGTCAGTATGACATGCAGATGAGTGCCGTCGATCTTAGAATCACCGCACACTTCACTCATTTGGGCAGTCACGGGGCCAAAACCAGAGTGTGGAGCCACAGTGTGGCGGTGGAGGCAGCAGCAATGGGAGGCCATACAGCACCCTATGACAAAATGGAACCCACCAGCAGTGTGAGGAGACCTGAAAGTGGCACATGGCAGAGTGTGGCGATGGAGACAGCAGCAATGGGAGGCCGTACAGGGACCCATGAGACACTCTGGACCTGGCAGCAGCATGAGGAGGCGGGACAGGGGCCCATGACAGATTACGGGCTTGGCAGCAGCATGAGGAGTCGGTACGGGGGCCCATGGCAGATTACGGGCCTGGCAGCAGCAATGGGAGGCCCGTAATCTGCCAGCACCCTATGACAAAATGGAACCCACCAGCAGTGTGAGGAGACCTGAAAGTGGCACATGGCAGAGTGTGGCGATGGAGACAGCAGCAATGGGAGGCCGTACAGGGACCCATGAGAAACTCTGGACCTGGCAGCAGCATGAGGAGGCGGTACGGGGGCCCATGGCAGATTACGGGCCTGGCAGCAGCAATGGGAGGCCCGTAATCTGCCAGCACCCTATGACAAAATGGAACCCACCAGCAGTGTGAGGAGACCTGAAAGTGGCACATGGCAGAGTGTGGCGATGGAGACAGCAGCAATGGGAGGCCGTACAGGGACCCATGAGAGACTCTGGACCTGGCAGCAGCATGAGGAGGCGGTACAGGGGCCCATGACAGATTACGGGCCTGGCAGCAGCATGAGGAGTCGGTACGGGGGCCCATGGCAGATTACGGGCCTGGCAGCAGCATGAGGAGTCGGTACGGGGGCCCATGGCAATTACGGGCCTGGCAGCAGCAATGGGAGGCCCGTAATCTGCCAGCACCCTATGACAAAATGGAACCCACCAGCAGTGTGAGGAGACCTGAAAGTGGCACATGGCAGAGTGTGGCGATGGAGACAGCAGCAATGGGAGGCCGTACAGGGACCCATGAGACACTCTGGACCTGGCAGCAGCATGAGGAGTCGGTACGGGGGCCCATGGCAATTACGGGCCTGGCAGCAGCAATGGGAGGCCCGTAATCTGCCAGCACCCTATGACAAAATGGAACCCACCAGCAGTGTGAGGAGACCTGAAAGTGGCACATGGCAGAGTGTGGCGATGGAGACAGCAGCAATGGGAGGCCGTACAGGGACCCATGAGACACTCTGGACCTGGCAGCAGCATGAGGAGGCGGTACGGGGGCCCATGGCAGATTACGGGCCTGGCAGCAGCAATGGGAGGCCCGTAATCTGCCAGCACCCTATGACAAAATGGAACCCACCAGCAGTGTGAGGAGACCTGAAAGTGGCACATGGCAGAGTGTGGCGATGGAGACAGCAGCAATGGGAGGCCGTACAGGGACCCATGAGACACTCTGGACCTGGCAGCAGCATGAGGAGGCGGTACGGGGGCCCATGGCAGATTACGGGCCTGGCAGCAGCAATGGGAGGCCCGTAATCTGCCAGCACCCTATGACAAAATGGAACCCACCAGCAGTGTGAGGAGACCTGAAAGTGGCACATGGCAGAGTGTGGCGATGGAGACAGCAGCAATGGGAGGCCGTACAGGGACCCATGAGACACTCTGGACCTGGCAGCAGCATGAGGAGGCGGTACAGGGGCCCATGACAGATTACGGGCCTGGCAGCAGCATGAGGAGTCGGTACGGGGGCCCATGGCAGATTACGGGCCTGGCAGCAGCAATGGGAGGCCCGTAATCTGCCAGCACCCTATGACAAAATGGAACCCACCAGCAGTGTGAGGAGACCTGAAAGTGGCACATGGCAGAGTGTGGCGATGGAGACAGCAGCAATGGGAGGCCGTACAGGGACCCATGAGACACTCTGGACCTGGCAGCAGCATGAGGAGGCGGTACAGGGGCCCATGGCAGATTACGGGCCTGGCAGCAGCAATGGGAGGCCCGTAATCTGCCAGCACCCTATGACAAAATGGAACCCACCAGCAGTGTGTGAGGAGACCTGAAAGTGGCACATGGCAGAGTGTGGCGATGGAGACAGCAGCAATGGGAGGCCGTACAGGGACCCATGAGACACTCTGGACCTGGCAGCAGCATGAGGAGGCGGTACGGGGGCCCATGGCAGATTACGGGCCTGGCAGCAGCAATGGGAGGCCCGTAATCTGCCAGCACCCTATGACAAAATGGAACCCACCAGCAGTGTGAGGAGACCTGAAAGTGGCACATGGCAGAGTGTGGCGATGGAGACAGCAGCAATGGGAGGCCGTACAGGGACCCATGACACACTCTGGACCTGGCAGCAGCAAGAGGAGGCGGTACAGGGGCCCATGGCAGAGTGGCGAAGCGTAAGCAGCTTAAATTGAAGGCCATACAGAGGCCTATGTTAAAAATAATAACATGTTTGGGGCATGATTCATGGCGGATTTAGTCAGTTGTGTCAGGAACTGGTGGTTTGAAATCCAGACTAATCCACGCCTGATTCATTTTCACAAACGTGAGTCTCTCCACACTTTGGGTGGACAGTCGTGTCCTCCGCGGAGTTACAATACCTCCTGCCGCACTAAACACGCGCTCCGATGCCACGCTACTGGCCGGGCATGACAGCCTTTCAAGGGCAAATTCAGCTAGTTGGGGCCAAAGGTCAAGTTTCGTTGCCCAGTAGTCAAGGGGATTGTCTACCTCGGTTGGCAGGGTGCTGTCCAAGTAGGCCCAAGCCTGTTGTTTGAGGTCCTGCTCCAGGTCCACCTGATGCTGCTGCTGCTGCGGCTGGTTAGTAGTTTCCTCACTGCGCTGGTGAAGAAAGCTACTCATCATCGACTGCAGACTGAGGCAGCCGCTGCTGGTGGAGCTGCCACTGCTCCTACCACCCCACCCCTCCCCTGCTGCCATGGCAGCGGAACGCGAGCGCACAGGGCCCACAGTGTCTGAGGATGGACGTTGGCGCAGAAAGGCAGAGACCAACTGACTACATAGGTGGTTTTTTATAGTACGTTATTTTGGCCTCCCCTCTCAGCAGGTGTGAAAAAGGCCACCATTTTTGAACGGTAGCGAGGGTCCAACAAGGTGGACAGCCAAAAGTCATCCCTCTGTCTGATGGTTATTATTCGGCTGTCGCTACGCAAGCAACCGAGCATGCTATGGGCCATTTGTGCCAAGGAATGCGAGGGACTCCCTGCCTCCATCTCCACAGCATACTGCCACGGTGCGTCTGGGTCCTCTGTCTCCTCCTCCTCCTCTACCAGATGCTCCTGCTCCTCCACTCCTGTCCGCTGAGTGGAAAAACCACCCATTTCACTCAATAATTCCTGAGAGCACCAATGTCCTCCTCTACCTCCTCCTCTTCTTCCTGTCCTGCCCCCACAGGGGTCATGTGGCGTTGAGATCTGTGCGCCACGTCTACCGCACCCTGACCAGCCATTGTTAACAGCATTTGTTCCAGGACGTGCAACAGAGGAATGACGTCGTTTCATCCCATAGTCCTGCCGACTCACGAATAGCGTGGCCCTCCTCAAAGGGCCTGAGCAAGCGGCAGGTGTCACGCATGAGCTGCCAATGGCTGACATCTAAGTTACACAGGGGGGTACCTTTATCCGCTTGTAACATCAGGAAATCGGTGATGGCCTTTCGCTGTTCGTAAAGGCGGTCTAACATATGTAGGGTTGAATTCCACCTTGTTGCAACGTCGCAGATCAGGCGATGCTGTGGAATTCCGTTCTGCCGCTGCAGCTCAAGGAGGGTGTGCTTTGCGGTGTAGGAATGGCTGAAATGCATGCAAAGTTTACGTGACATTTTAAGGATGTCTTGCAGTGGGATGGTGGATTTTAGGAACCGCTTGACAACCAGATTGAACACGTGAGCCATGCATGGCGCATGGCACAACCTTCCTTGACGCAGAGCAGACACCATGTTCTTTCCGTTGTCGGTCAACATGGTTCCGATTTTCAGTTTGCGCGGAGACAGCCATCTGTCGATTTCTCTGTTCATTACACTCAGAAGTTCCTCCCCTGTGTGACTACGTTTGCCAAGGCATACCAGGTGCAGCACAGCGTGACACCGTTGCGCCCTGCACATGTGATATGCCGGTCGGGTAATGGGACTTGGCACGGGGGTGGCGGCTGAGGACACGGCGGAAGAAGAGGTGGTAGAGGGACATCTTTTCTGGACCAAGGACGTGCAAACGTGGAGGCAAAAGCGGCGTGACCTGTCCAAGTTGCTGGTGCGGCTGTGCCGGCACCACGTTCACCCAGTGGGCCGTAAATGACATGTACTGTCCCTGACCGTAGTTACAGCTCCACACGTCGGCGCTGCCGTGCACTTTGGCAGAGACCGACATGCTCAAAGACTGGCCCACCATCTCTTCTACATGTGAATGCAGGGCTGGCACTGCCTTTTTGGCGAAGAAATGCCGGCTTGGCACTCTCCACCGTGGCGCGGCACAAGCCATCATTTCTCGGAAAGGTGCTGAGTCCACCACTTGGAAAGGGAGGGACTGCAGCACCAGCAACTTGGACAGGAGGACGTTCAGCTTTTGCACCGTCGGGTGCGTGCTCGCAAACTGTTGTCTCTTGGAAACGGATTCCAAGAAAGACTGCTGACGGAATCCGTGAAGAGGAGTAGCAGGAGAAGGAGCATCTGAACGAGCGGAAGATGCCAACGAGCGACAACTCCCCTCAGCAGAGGTGTTGGAGCCTTGACTGGCTGATAGAGGGCGATTGACGTCGGGTGACGGAGCAAGTAACGGAGCGGGTGATGGAGCGGGGGCTGGGGCAGGCAGAACCGCCGTATCTTTATCACGGTTTTCCCAGGCCACCGAATGGCGACGCTGCATATGCTGCCGCAACGCTGTAGTCCCAACATGGGCCCCCTGGCCACGCTTGACTTTCTGGCCACATAGTCGACATACGGCTACGTTTACTTCCTCGGGCGGCTTGACGAAAAATTGCCACACACCGCCGAGTAGGAAACTTTGCCCCCGCTACTCCTCACTGGCTGACTGCTACTTCCTCCGTGCACACCGGCACCACTACTGGCCGTGGTGGTAGGCTGCAGTGGAGCTGGTGCTCTACTCCGTGGCCGTTTGCCTCCACTGACACTGCTGCGACCCTGCTGCCTCCTGGGCAACCCACCGACTGTTTTGCTCGCTGCCAAGCTGGCACCCTCTTCTCCTGATGATGCGGAAGCAATAGCCTGATGACGACGAGGCTGCCAAGTGCGATCAGCCTCATCATCATCAATTAGGGTCTCCGCCTCACTACTAGCCCCCTCGGCTGCGTGTGGGTCAGGAGACAGACCTGTCTCTAGACCGGCTACCGAGCCACTCTCCTCGCCAGTACTTCTTCGCCTGGCTGCTGAAGAGGCGGATGTCTCCCCCCCGTTCCTGACCGCCCTCTGTTAGCTCTTCCTCACTGTACAGTGGGGCTGAGCCCACAGCATGCGATACTTCGCTTGGTGAGGGAACACCAAAGGACAGGGGCAGGTAGAGGACACGTGATTTCAGTGGGCTTGCTCCCGGGCCATGCCAACAACGGTTGTGTCTGTCTGACGTACCCACCGACCGTTGGCTGTAGGTGTCAGAGGTGACCTGGGAAGAGGAAAACGACAGAGCCAACCAATCGATGATGGCAGGGTTTGTCGGTGGAGACACGACCGCTGGATGACACCGGGAGCACTGGCCTCTGGCTGCGACTAGTGCTGCCTCGACCCCTTCCTCTGCTGC